TTACACATAATTAAATTAAATTTTTATATTTAATAAACTAAATAATTATTATTTATATTATCACATTAATTTAATTTTAATAAAAATAAAATTATTTATATATTAGAAACAAATGATTGTAATTATATATTATTACATTAAATCTAAAATTATTTTAAAAAATAAAAAATTAAAATGTATTTGAAATAATTATTTACCATAAGTTAATTTATTAAACATATTTTATGAGAGTGTTTGTTTAGGAGAGTATAACGGGAATTAAGTATATTTTATGAGGGTATAAAAAGAAAAAAATTATCTGCCCGTCACATATCACCAATTCGGTAATTTTTAAAATTCATCCTAGACCTACTAGAATCGGCTACCATTTGCTACCATATTTTCAGGTTGGAAGTTGAAACAAATAAAATTTTATTATGCCGGTGGAATACCGTATATTAATTAACTATTTACCACTAAACAAATAGAGCCTTAGGGAGTTTGAAGCAGTAGGCAGTGGCACCAATTTTCTGCTCTACCTTATATGGCCCAAAGAACTTGGCGGACAACTTAAGTTGCCTCTTATTGGCAACAAAGACCTGTCTATGGGGCTGTATGTTAGGCAACACTAAATCTTGCTCCTCAAATTCCCGTTCTGACCTGTGCTTATCTGCAAACTGCTTCATGTGGGTATGTGCTTCCATGAGTTGTTGCCTAAAGCATTTGGCTCATCCTTTATCTTTCCTCCAAAAACTCTTCCAACTTGGCTGAGGGTGTTTTCCCCTCAATGACATCAGTAAAATTGGAAGAAGGGAATCCATAGAGTGCTTGAAAATGGTTCATCTCAACATGGAATAGTGGGTGGTGTTATACCACCACTCAGCCGGACTTAGCCATTTGGCCAAAAACAGCGGATTATTAAAAGTCATGCAACATACATAGGTTTCTAAACACTGGTTCAATCTTTCTCTGTTAATGGATCATAGACAGAACTAAGGTGCATGGTGCTGCTGCTAGTTAGTCTCTTAAATTCCTGCCAAAACAAACTTGTAAACACTTTGTCACGAGCTGTGACAATTACCCAAGGAGGAACATGCAGCCGGTGGATACTGTCTACAAAAAGCTGGGCAACTTTGAGGGCTTTAAAAGGATGCTTGAGTCCCACCAAATGCCTATATTTGGTGAATGCGTCCAACCACCACAAAAATTGTGTCTATGTTGTGTGATTTGGGAAAGCTCTCATGAAATCCATAGAAATGAGAGATCAAGCTTGTCTGGGCACCGCTAAGGTCAATAAGAGGCCTAACAGTGGCACCCTTTCTGATTTACATATTTGACAGACATCAATTTCAGCACCCTTTCTGGTCAGTCATTACAGCTTTCCCTCGAGTGCATGCCATCACAGCTTGCAAAGTGACGGTGTCCTTAGTATCGATGACTCTAATGCCAAGTTGTTAGGACTCCTTAGACATATAAGTTTTAGAATAATAGGGTTTTGTAGTAGAGGGAAGACGAATAAATGAGGTAGAAAGGAGGGAGAAAAGAGAGAGAGAGAGAGAGAATTTGGATAATTTTCTGATGATTGAATCAGAAATTTTGCATATATGTTTGTGATACATCATTCTGGCATTTCTTTACCTTTTTCTACTGGCTTCTCACCTAGATAAAGATACAGCAAAAGCAAACCAAAGCAAGACAGAGAAACAAAAGGAAAGAAATCGGCCACAAGCAGTACAATTGCAAGGACCACTTGAAACTAATCCTAACACTAGCTAAATCACTGACAATTAGTTGTGGTAACCGAGATGGATACTGCTGACTTGGTAGCCATTTTTTGGTTACTATTAAGGGCCAATGGCACCTCTGGTGCACCTTCAGTGGCTTCATGGGCCCTGGAGGTGGAGCTTGTGACATGTGGAGTGCTGGGCTCGAGTCTTCAGCCTTGCAAAAATCTATCGTTGGGCGTCCTTTGTTCAGTAGTTAGATGGCACCTAACACAGCAAATAATTGGTGCGTGAAGCTCATGTGCCATTTGCTCTCCTCTTTGCCAATAGATTCTAGCATGAATAACGTGCTTTATTAGTTTATGTGGCATGTATCCTCATTAGGTTGCTAGTTAGTTTTATGGTATACTAGGGTAATGTGCTTTTAAGAAAGTTTTGTGGTCAATTTTTTTGGGCACTAAGTTCTGTGTTGTAGCAAGTCGAGTTTGGTGTTTGCGCTTGTAGTTTCAAGGTTGTTATAACACAAAACTGTAACCAAATCTTCAAATCTACTGAGTTCATGATTTCTTGCAGATATTAACACTGGATTTGACCAAATCAGGATCCAAAATTCTTGACAAGAAGAGGTATCATTTCTAAATGAGACTATTCTTTTGATTTGAGCTGATGAGAGCCCCATGGGGGTTATACTTGAATTCCCATGTTCTAGAAAGTTCAGCAGGGGTGCAATAAAGAAAGAATGTGAGTACAAATTTGTCAAGATTCTCCATTCGGGAAAATAATGATCTCTTTGATGTACTCATAAATTTAGGTATATCGAAAAAAGTGTTAGAAACTAAATGGTAACCAACCAAGTAAATAATGGAGTCATCAAGGACGACAACATAAAAATCAAGCCAAGTCAACCTTATCATGAATCAGCCGAATCAAGAAAACTCTCAATACCAATTGACTTCAAAAAGGAGACATCGAGAAAATAAGGGGACTTTTGGAATCATCGAAGAAGCCTAGTGGTGTGTCAGGAAACATTTAGAATTTAGTACACTAGGAGGGGTAAATTAGGAAATTCACACCAAATGGCAAAATAGTAAAAGAAAATTAGGATCAGGGTTTGTTAACCCTAATCATCTCTTCAATCTTGCAACCGGCGCCAATCCATCACTAATTCATCCCGTAGTCGCTGCTGTGCCTAATAATGAGAAGTGGAATTTTGGCTACGCGATTCCAACCACTCATGGAGTTTTTTCTGTAAAAGACCCTTTTCACCGAATTGAAATCGATAAGAAATATTACTTATCTTTCTCTTTTCATAATCTTCTTCTTCTTCTTCATTCTCTCCTTCTTCTTTATTTTTCTAAAGTTAGAATCCATGTCAAAAACTTCTGATAAGTTGGTATCAGAGCCAAAACGGGCCGAATCCTACGCCAGTATTACCACACGAACTCGGTCCAAAGGAAAAGTTGCGATTGCAGAATCGGAGAACCCCGAAATGATCACTGCAAAGGAGGTCAACCTGAAACTCTCTGTGTTCATGGACGAAATGAATGAATTCCACTAGGAAACGCATCGACAACTCACCTCGATCCTAGACCTGCTCCGCAGCAGCTCCGTCAATTGGGTTTTAAACAAGCTCGGTGTGCCTAGCGGTCAAGACTCCCGAAAACAAAGGCCTCGTGCCTCCTCCATACGACATGACCTCAAAGCCGGGAAAACAAGGGTTAAGGTTACCCTTTATACCCAGTTTAACCCCATTGAACCGGACCCGACAAGATGAAGAAACAGATCTGGATGAACCGGTCCAAACTGGCCTAAATCGACCCGGTCCAGCACCGACCCGAATCGAGTTGACCAGAAATTGCCCAGTAAAGTCCCTGGATTGAACCGAACCTCCCACGATTGTGAACCGACCTATAATTTTGCATTTCCTAAAATAAAAAGTCTCCTTTTTGAAGGAGCAAACCCCTTCGGGTGGATTCGAAAATGTGAAAAATATTTTATGATCCACAACACTCTTGACGGGAAAAAAGCGAAGATTGTATTGCTATATTTAGGAGAAGTCATTGATATATGGTATCACGGGTGGTTAACCAAAGTTGATACCCTGAATCGGCGATTCAGAGGACCCTTACTTGAATTTTTGCATTCTCTCATAGATGTAGAGAACCCAACACTTTCAGAAAAGTTTTTTATATCTACCTTTACCAATGGCCTTAAATTGTAACTAAACCCACAATAAGATTTCTCAAGCCACAAATGCTTAATCAAACATTCGAACAGCCCTCACTGTAGGAACAATCACTAATAGAGTTGTTTCTGAATCTCTATCTTCCCAACAGTGATACTCTATTATTAGAAAAAGATCGATATAATGATAGACCCCCCAGGAGCATAGGAAAGGAAGCATAACCTAAAAGTTCAGCAGCCTATTACAAATGTGCAGATAGGTATTTTCTAGGACACCATTGTGTAAATAAAATAATAATGGTCATGGAGGAAAAGAGACTATCAAAGAAAAAATTTTTACAATTCAATCTTGCGGACAAGGTTGATGGCTCAAGGGGAGGGTATTATTAGGAAACCATTTAGAGTTTAATATAGTAGGAGGGATAAATTAGGAAATTCACACCAAATGGCAAAATAGTAAAAGAAAACTAAGGTTAAAGTTTGTCAACCCTAATCATCTCTTTAAACCTGAAATTTTTCACCGTAATACTCTCGTTTACTTCGACTTTACTAATACTATATTCGTTTCATTGAAACTTATATTGTGACTAGCGTTGCTGCTGTCAAATAAACTAATTTAAAAATAAGGTAACATGCTCGATAAGGCATAAACTCTGGTTTAGGTGGACAGCCCGATAAATAAACATCTACAGGAATTAACTTATCAACCCCTCGAACAGTACCATAACCAGCGCCAACCCACCATCAATTCATCCCGCCGCCACCGCACCTAAAAATGGGAGGCATAATTTTGACCAATGCAATTCCAGCCACCAATGGAGTTTTTCTTTATTTTCTCAAGGTCTATAAAAGGTTTTTTTACTGTTTTGTAATCATGAATTAAAATCAATAAGAACTATAGTCTCTCATTCTCTTTTCAGATTCTTCTTCATCTTCTTCATTCTCTCCTTCTTCTTCTTTATTTTCCTAAAATCAGAATCTATGTCAAAGGCTTCTGACATGATGCATGCTCTTTTGCACTTACAGGTAAGTTTTATGTTTCTCAATGATTAATTGTCTCAGATGAAGGTACTAGAAACCTTTGGATTATTGACTCAGGAGGTATATATCTTATAACATGTTCTTCATAAATTTTAGCATTTACAATATATGCTCAAGCAATTAAAAATTAACTATTTCAATGACTCTCTCATTACAATAGTTAGTGTAAGAGATATTTATATTAACATATCCTTTACATTAAAAAATATTATTTATTACTCCAAAGTATCCACCAACCTCGTGTTTTATAAAAACTTACTCATAATGTGAATTTAATGTACTTTTCTATCCTTTTTATTATATATAGATCCAAGAAAGGGACAGAACTTGCTAGTCAACAAAACATGCTCTAGTATATTGAAGAATAAGGCAAATCAAATTTTGTCATGAATAAATTATCTTTAGTATTTTTTTCATCATCTAACAAAAATACTATTTGGCTCCATTACTTTGGGTTTGGGCACTAATCTTTTGGAATTTTAACCATCTTACATTTTTTTCTTCTAAATGACTGATGTTAATTATTTTTATTATGATGTATGCAAATTTCAAAAACAAAAATGTGGACTATTTCCAATTAGTAATCAAATAAGTTCAATCCCATTTTACTTAATCCGTACTGATATCTAGGGATTCTCGAGAATTATATACGTATCTGGTTTCACAATGATTTGTCTTATTTACTAACAACTGCACTAGAGTCTCTTAGACCTTATTTCTTCGAACTAAATCTGATGTAGTAGTGTGCCTCTAAATTTCCACACCATGATTCAAAATCAGTTTTGTACTAACATAAAAAAAGGCCAATATGATAATGTGCAGAATTATTTCAACTAAACTCTATCTTCGTTAATTCCAAGAAAAAAAAAAGGAATCGTCCATGAATTCTCATGCCTAAGTACTTCTCTACAAGTAGCAGAGGGGATTAAAGGTCATATGCTAAATACGAACAGAGCTGTTTTTCCCCCCAAAAAATGTTACCAAAACCTACTGGGAGGAAATTGTGCTTATGCCCACTTACATAATCAACTGCATCCACTCACAAGTTCAGAGTTTGAAACACCAATAGAGACACTTTCTTAGTTTTATCATGACCTATGACTAGCAAATGATCTCATCCCAAAATCCTTTCAATGCATTGTCTTTGTCCATGTTCATAGCTAGGAAGAGAGAAGTTAGATCCAAGAGCTATTAAGTGCTTATTCATTGGTTATTCACTAAAAGTATACAAGTGTTATTTTCTATTTATCAAAATTTTTTTTCTCTATTGATGTCGCTTCTGATGAGAAAAAAATCATATCTCACTCTGTTATATCTTTAAAAAGAGTCTTTATCATCCATCGAATAAGGATATAGACTTATTTCTGCTTGATGATCACAAACACACTCTTTGTACCAGTCTAACTTATACCACCTACCAAATCACTTCAATCCATGTCAACATCCTCACTCATTCACACCAGACTTATGACAAGGAATCATGAACTTTGTGACTCAATGAGATTTATCCACGTACATTCAAGACGAAAAGATCTGAATTTTGATCATGTGCAAGTTCAAGACTCAAACATTTGATCTTGAGAATGAGGTAAATAGAGTGATAAAACTTTTTCCTCAACTAGCATGTGATCATGATGTTCCTAATGCCACTAAGAAAGGTATAAGTGAATGCACTAACTTGTGTCATTTGAAAAATTCTCACCTTTGCATAAATGCTAGTCAGTATAAACACATTCTAATTTTTAATACCTCATCTGAGGCATTATTTGATGGGAAGTAAAAAAATGTCAGGAGAGAAGAGATGTAGGCACTAGTGAAAAAGTAAACATGGGAAATTGTTGACTCGTCATCTAGAAAGAAATTTGTGGAATGCAAAAGAGTATTTACAATGAAGTACAAGTTAGGTGGCTCCCTTAAGAGATAAAAGATCAAATTCGTGGCAGATGGACACGCACAAACATTATGGTCTGGACTGTCAGGAAGCATTCACTTCTGTCACAGAAAAGAACACTATAACTTTGGTTGTTGTTATTAGCATACAGCTTTTATTGGTGTTTGGAGTAGTTCGTTGTGAAGAATATTTTCTTTTACTACAATTTTGGAGAAAGAGAAATAGATGGATATTCCTCGAGGCTTTAAGGAAAAACCAAAGGAAATAAAGTATGCCAATTGAAGAAAGGATTATATAGTTTTTAAAGCAATAAGGGCTTCGGTTGAAAGATTTATAAGAGTAATGCTTGCAACTGGGTACAGAAAGAATCAGAAAGATCATACACTCTTTATAAAACACTAGATTTAGAGGAGTCATGGTTCTCTTGGTATATGTTCATGATATAACTGTGATAGGAAATGATAGAATGACAAAAGACATTGAGAGATACCTACTAGAGAATTCAAGATCCA